TAGCATTGTTCAACCAATTTGCCACACTCACAAACGAGAAGAACATGGCACACTAACCTTACCTACTCACTTCGAATACCTATAAGACATTTAAATATGTTTTGATAGTTAATTGATTAATATTTGTCTTCATATTAAACATTATCTTGATGAGCATGTATCTATCATTTATCTAAATGTCTTCATAAGAAAAAAGTCTAATATGTGTGTATGTCCTACGGATGCATGTATATGTTAAATTATCGTCTCATATTTTTATAGTCAAGTTGAATTTGTTTTTCATTTTATTGACTTTTTCTCCAACTCTTTATGCAAAAAACTATATTTATTTTATATTTTGTAACTTTAATATGTATTATGTAGTTTTTTTATTGGTTAGTTTTTTAGTTACGTATTTAATTATGGATTTTAATGTAAAAAGAAAAAAACATCTATAATTTTTAAAGTTACTTAATATTTACGTTTTTGATTAAATATAATATAAAAGGAACAGAGTGAGTAGTAGATCAGCAGGAAAAAGTTAATAAAAAAAAATGAAAACCTTGATATTTAATGATTTGCTACAGTGTTTTAGTTTTGAAAGTACTTTTTTGGTTTACCGAAATCGCTTGGATTAGCGCATTTTATTTTATACTATTTCTTTTTGAATTTTGACTAATTAGTCATTTGACTTCTTAAGTTCTTATACCGTAAAGCAACAAATGTGGATCCCAGTTGCTACACTAAAGACAATTCGTCAATGGCCCATGCGATTTATTTATAAATTCAGTTTTACCCTATAATGACAAAAATTTATTTATTTTCTGAAATATAAATTATTAAATTGTAGACTACATTGATAGTGCTTAAAACTCTACAGTTCGGTACAATTCTATGATATATATATATAACTTATAAAACTTTCATAACAAATCAAATTTCTCAATTCCTTTTCCAATTAAGAGAAAGAAAAAGAGTTTAAACCAAATATGAAGATCTTGCAAAACAAAAACATGTTTTGATCTTGTCCTCATAATCATTGTAATCGATATCAAAAATGTATACTTGTATTTTTATATATAATGATATTTGAAAGATAGAATGTTTCACATATAGTGAAATTCAATGCTGAAAATTTACGGGAGAGGATATAAAGAAGTTTGATTTGTCAAACAAAAAAAATACATGTTGAGGTCGGTGAGGATCTTGTTCAACCTCTTCTTGACGAGTTCAAAATTTTCCCCATCTCCAGTAAGTAGTTAATAATACCTATCAGAACCATAGTGTTAGTTAACTAAAATCTTGCATTGTAAGCAAATGATTAAAATTACAATTAAGAATTCACATTATATTTTATCAGAAAAAAGAAAAGA